CAGGTCCTTACGGGGGGACAAGGAGGCTTCTTGGTATTTGCCATCACGTTGTCTTTCCAGCTGGCACCCACAGTAGCAGCCCTGTCCTCAGAGCAATCCAGAGCCAGCTGCGGGCTGCTGGAGGCCCCCTTGCTTCCTCCATCAAAGGGAGGGAAACGCTAAGGTGAGTGCTGGAGCACCCATGGAACATGAGACAGAAGCCCGGGATACTGCAGCCCATGGTGAAGGGCAGCCTTCCATAGCCCCACCACGACCAGTGTTTGAGGTGACCCTCAGCTCCTCTGTTGTCATGGTTTTATCTTCATTTTATCAGCCGAGACTGATTAGGTTTCATTGTCATTGCTTAATGCTTTGCTCAGCTCTTTGGCTAACCAAGGTTTTTCCATGACTTTTTGACAGTTATTTTTGTTCAGTAATGAATAATAAAGTGAGACTTACCATCTGTATATGACAACACTGGTTTTATTTTGACATGTCTTTTCTAGACAGCACGGGGTTTATAATTAGGTTTTCCCTCTGCCAAAAACATTACTGAAAGATTATTTCCCTGAAAACAAAAACTTTTGTAGCTTCCTCTGCTAGTTGGAGTCATTGCATTTTGATTCTGAAAGCTTTTTTCGTCAGTCAAGGAAATGAAGCAAGAAAAAATTCTTTCAAAAAATTGTTTGCAATAACAAAAATGAACTTTTGACCAAGATAAAATTAGGAGGTAAAACAAAACAATGATGGGTTGAAATTGTGAGGCCATTGTTGCCTTTTAATTTGATGAAAATTAAATCTAAGAGGATATTTAAATGTACATCGGGCATACAAGAAATCTTTACTAAATTGTTCCAAAGGAGGATTTTGTCTCTTACTTTTTGTTTTTGTTAGTTTTTTGTTTGGGGCCTGCACCCAGCAGCATTTAAAAAATATTCCTGAGGAGTTGCTTGGGGGTTGCTCCCAGTAGTGCTCAGGAAACTGCATAGAATGGTGCTGGTGCACCATCTACATGCAAGGCATGTTCTATCTCTCCAAACCCAAATAAGGGATCTCTGTGTGTTTTTAATTCTTGTTGTTACCCAAACCCATTTTATATCAACTCTTTGAAATACTCAGAAGACTGTACTAGAACTCAGGGGTGAGCCTCCCACTTCTCAGAGGTCTGAGAATGGGCTCTGTCCCTTTGCTGCTAAACTTGAGCCATCAACCAGATACTTCTTATGGATGCACAACCTTCTAGCAAGACACTCTGACCCTTTTCGTGTGACCAAGCCTGTAGTTGGCTGTCACAGGGGAGTCCTCGAGAAGCTGCAAGTGTGTCGATCAACAGTGCTTTCCCTTTGGAGCATTCTTGAAATAAATCATGAAGGAAGCCATATTGACAAGTGATAGTGTACCCCTCTCATTGCTGATGGCAAAAACATCACAAAGTGCTAATGGCAAAAACAGTCTCACTCTGCATCTGCTCCCTCCTTTACTATGTGGAAATACCTTCCGGATCTTACAGTGGTGACAGTGGCCAGCTTTTCTTTATAGCCTAGAATATTTTCCTTTTTGACTCATACTGAAAGGGCTGCTTCTTGAATCAGATTCCAGACCCAGCCACCCTTATCCGCATCATCTCTGCTCTTAATTCCCCTCATTATCCATTATTTTCTGTTTGTTTTGGGACCATACCCGACAGCTCTCAGGCTTATTCCTGACTCTGTGCTCACTGATCGCTCCTGATGCAGTCATAGATGGGGGACCAGATACAGGCCTAGGGATCAAAACAGAGTTGACTGTGTGAAACAAAGTGTCTAAACACCAATACTATCTCTCTAGCCCTCATCTATTATTTTTATAATGAGCACTAACAACTATGCAAGACAGGATAAGAATTAGAGAATATCTCAAAGGTGTGTACATAATTGAAATGAAGAAAAAAAGAAACTTTAGAAGACTTAAACGAGTTTCATTAATGACAATCTAGACAGCAGAGCTCAATAGTAGTGCTGTGCACCATTCTTCATCTTGTGGGTACAGAGTTGACATTTCCTCCCAGTGTGCTGCTGTCTCCTAGGGATGGTCTCTCCAAGTTCTGATAGGCTCACTTGTTATGGGTGGCTGTTACTCTGTGGAATGTTGGACACATGGAGGAATTCTCTGTGTCTAAAGATGGTGTCCCTCATTTTGAATATACAGCTCTGCTCATGTGACATAGCATATTCTTGAACAAGCTAACTTGGGTTTCTGGATTTTAAGGTTTATTATTTATTTATTTGTTTGTTTGTTTGTTTGTTTTTTGGGTCACACCCGGCGATGCACAGGGGTTACTCCTGGCTCTGCACTCAGGAGTTACTCCTGGCGGTGCTCAGGAGACCATATGGGTTGCTGAGAATCGAATCTGGGTCGGCCGCGTGCAAGGCAAACACCCTACCCGCTGTGCTATCTCTCCAGCCCCAAGGTTTTTTTTTTTATGTAAGAGCATTGCTATTTATTTAGCCATTGATTATGCTGATTTAATTGGGCATTAACTCCACCTTATTTTTTTTTCCTTTTTTTATAACTTTATTTATTGAATCACTGAGAGAGCAGTTACAAAGCTTTCAGGTTTAAGTCTTGGTCATACAATGAAACACCCATCCCTTCACCAGTGCCCATTTTCCACCACCAAAAACCCCAGTATACCTCCATCCTACACCCTCCCCCTACCTGTGGGGCAGATGATTTCCACATTACTCTATCTCTACTTTGATTACATTTAATATTTCGACACCAGATCCACCATTATTATTTGGGATTTTACATCAACACTCAGACCTGCTGAAAAGGCAACAGTAGGCAATTTTGTTTTCTGTTGCTGATTATGAATAACATATGATGTCCTGTGGCTGCAGTAGTGGGCGCGCGATTTTAGAATTCCAAAATTTTAACAATCTGGAGGGATTTCTGCCAAAACTTGCTGGGTTCCGAGACTTGTTCCTGAGTCTCTTGGATCATGGTTGTTAAGAAGCTTGATAAGGAGCCAGAGAGGCCGTTCATGGGCAGCAACACAGGATCTCGTTGGAGTGAGGAGGAAAGGGCTAGCTCCACCCCCATCCTGTGAGGCCCCACATGTCTCATCACTGCGGGCCCAAACCTGACGGTCCATTGGCCTCTGGAGGATGGCAGCCACAGAGCCGCCAGGGGGAACAGGCCAAGGCATGAAACCTATTCCCACCTGGGGTGGCCCGGCACCAGTAACTTACTGCAGGGATCAGACGCATTTCTACCAAAAGCCACTGGGTTTTGAGATTTGTTTCTGAGTCTCTGGGATCATGGCCATTAAGCAGTTTGATCAGAAACCAGAGAGGCCATGCCTCCAATTCTATAGCTGAGCTGGAGGTGGCTTGTGGGTGTGTCTCCCACATACCTAACTTTTGGCCGTTTACTTTCTTGGTAAACTTACCCCAAGTTTCTGGGGTCTGGCCAAAGTCACAGTGACAGTTTGTGGTATCTGAAGTCTGAAGGCGCCATCAGGCTGCGGATGCACTCTCCTCACAGGTACAGATTGACCTGCTGGCGGCACCATACCCCCTGAATTTGAAGTTTCGTCAGGAAGAGGTGTAAAGATTGAGGAAAGGTCCTTGTAAGTCTCTGATACAGCAGAATGATGAAATTGTTACCTACTTGTGGGTTGAGCAGTTGTTACTCTCACCTAACTTAGCTCAACTCTTCTTCTTTGCCCTTTCTGTGAATGATGTGTTGTGAGAGTGTTTTCTGTGATGATGTGTTACTGAGAGACCTCTTACTTAGCAGTAGATACTAGACTCTCTTATCCATCAGTGACCAAGGTTCATCTAAAGGGATTGATCATCCCTTGAAATAACTACTTCTGTTCTATCATTAGGCTGGAGCAATAGCACAGTGGGTTGGCATTTGCCTTGCACACGGCCAACACGGGTTCGATTCCTCCATCCCTCTCAGAGAGCCTGGCAAGCTACAAGAGTATCCCGCCCACACAGCAGAGCCTGGCAAGCTCCCCGTGGCGTATTTGATATGCCAAAAACAGTAACAAGTCTCACATGGAGACTGGTGTCTGCTCGAGCAAATCGATGAACACGGAAGTGCTACGGTGCTACAGTGCTACAGTGTAGTTCTATCATTGGGAGAATGAATCCTTAAGTTAAGATTAGCCCTTTCTTGTGATTTTCTTAGAAAAGTGTTTGCGGTATAATGATAAAAGGTGTGAAAATAAAATGTGATTAAAAAATCCAGTCAGTGTCAGGGACTCCAAGAACCTAGTATTCAGCATGCAGAAGGAATATTATTTGAAGCCCACTTGTTTAACCTTTTAAACCTAGTTTTTCAAGCCCCAAAACATGGTAATCAAATTTTTAGAAATATTTGGATTTTTATAAATATCAACCCAATAGTTTATGATTGTCACACTTAGATTGTACAGGTAATTGGTTGAGCAGTTATTAATATATGGAGTCATTTGATTTGTCTCATAATACACAAAATAATAACCAAATCTTCAACATTCCTATTTACAAAAGGAGGTCAAATCACCAGGAGATAGAATATTAATCCAGTTTCAGTTAAAATGGTCTTAGAATTTCTGTTGTCTCTGTTGATCAAGAGATTTAGGTCCATAAATGAACTTACTCAGGTTTCTTTTCTAAGAAAGAGAGGGGCTCAGTTACCTGGATTCATTCTCCTTTGTTGCACAAAATTATCCACATGCCTTTGCAGTGTGGGTACTGATTTGATCAGGATTATGTCCCAAGGAGTTACCCTATGGGACTTCCTTACCTTCCAGAAAATCTTGAAGGATTTAAAGACCTCAGTGGGTATGTGCCACACTGCATTCTGGTCATGCCTGTGTGCTGGCGAGTGGTATTGATGAGAGAAGGGCTATTGGGATGGGTGATTCTTAGAAGGAGTTGCATCTTTTTTAGTTGAGCACCATGTCATAACAACTTACAGAGAAGACTTGTTCTTGGTTGCTTTTATGAACTATGTCCTCATGTCCAAACCTGATTGTATTTCAGATAACGGAGGGCAGACTCTGGCAGGAGGAAACAACTGGCCCCTTCGAGGAAGAAAATGGACCCTGTGGGAAGGAGGTGTTCGAGGGGTGGGCTTTGTGTCCAGCCCTTTGCTGAAACAAAAGGGTGTGAAGAACCGGGAGCTCATCCACATTTCTGACTGGCTGCCAACTCTGGTGAAGCTGGCAGGGGGGAGCACCAATGGCACCAAGCCCCTGGATGGCTACGATATGTGGAAGACCATCAGGTAGCTATGCATCCAGTTATTCCTTTCTTTCCCAAAACAGTGAAATGGCGTTGTCAGCATGTTGCACCTCAGTCTTAGAATGCACTGATCCTGTAACTGCAAGTTTCGAAAATTCTGGCCAGTGTTTCCCGTTTCCCGGCCCCAGCTTCAGACCTTAGTAACCATCATTCTACTTTCTCAAAGTGTTTAGGAAATGAAAGTGCTCAAGATTCAGACTGGGGTTGGCCACAAGCAAGATAAATTACCTTACCTCTTGTTCTATCTCTCCAGTCCCAGAAAATGATGATTTTAAAAACATTTGATCCACATTATAAAATTGCTTTCTTAAAATGTTATCAATGTCCTCTCATTCCATTGATGTGACTAGTTGTCACCTTCACAACGTTTCCTTACATGACTCTAGAAAAATCTTCATTTATATTACATGGGAAATGGTCTTATCTTGAATTTTTATCTTAGAACAAATAATCTTTGATTATTAAGGATACTAATTTTTACATTGAAAGGACATACTTCTATCTTAATTTGGTGTTATTGAGGGTTTAATCTTAATTTAAAATATTCCATATACATTATCTTTAGAAAGTGTTCATTTCACTCCTATATTTATTATTGATGTTGGTGTTTTCTTGCTATTTTATTTGCTTTTATGTTAAATCTTTTGACTGTCCTTTTTCTCTTCTTTCCTTTTTTGTGGTGCAAGGGATCGAACAGTTGATTGCTTACTTTATTAAAATTATGCAAATATTTTCCTGTTAAAATTTCTGTTGGGAATGTTTTTAAGATTTGATATTTATCCTATGTCAGTAAAATTGCGGTCTTGTTTTGTTTTCTTTCTTTCATTCAAAAAACTTTCCTCCACACAAAATGCACTAAATATTTATATTTTCTTCTAAGTGTTGTTTGTGATTGGATTTTCTTCCATATCATTCTTGAGTTATTGTGAAATGGTGTGTGTTCTGTGAATTCAGTATCTTAATGTCTGAGTCAAAGGAGTATTATTTTTTCCTAAGTGATTGAATTGTAGGCCTCTTGAGACTCAAGGCTGTGAAGTTACAGGAAAATAGCACCTGAACTTATATACAGAAATTTAGAGAGAATTAATTTCGGTGATATTAGAAATTATTCACTCTTTTCTACATGATTAAATATAGAAAAAGATGATAAATATACTTTTCAAGGATTGTATCTGTCTCATATTTCGTTTGGGTTTTGTTTTGTTTTAGGTCCACATCCTACAGGGCTCAGGGGCAACTCCTAGCTCAGTGTTTGAGGGATGCTCCCAGCAGTGCTTGAGGAACCATGCAGTGCCAAGGATGGAATCCGGGCCTCCTGCATGCAAGCATACACTCTAGCCATTTGAGCTCTCTCTTTCTCTCTCTCTCTCTCTCTCTTTCTCTTTCTCTCTCTCTCTCTGTCACTGGCCCTCTCTCTTATTGTTATGTTTTTTTACATTTAAAATTTTTATTTTTATAAAGTTGTTCACAGTATTTGATTACATTTAATATTTAAACACTACCATCACACCTTCCCACCACCGTATTTTGGATGTTTCCATCCGGAACCCCAAACCCTGCCCCTAAAGCAGAACCGAAATCATTTATTTTGTATTGCTTTTTATGAATATCACTGTATCACTGTCCTCCCATTGTTCATCGATTTGCTCGAGTGAGTCCAGTAATGTCTCCATTGTGAGACTTGTTGTTACTGTGTTTGGCATAATGAATACATCATGGGTAGTTTGCCAGGCTTTGCCGTGCAGGGGAGATACTCTCGGTAGTTTGCCAGGCTCTCCGAGAGGGGTGGAGAAATCGAACTTGGGTCAGCCGGGTCGGCCGCTTACAAGGCAAACGCCCTACCCACTGTGCTATCGCTTTAGCTTTTTATGAATAATCCACTAGAGATGTTCAAAAAAGGGTTTCTTAGAGATAACTGTGTGAAAATTATTGTTTTTCACCCAGGAACCATTAAGCCCTTCTACAAGAGATTAGTAACATGTTGTTCAAGATTGAGCCTTGTGTGCTTATATCTGTATCTGTATAAATATATTTCTCTCTAAGATTGATTGCCTTCTATTTTAAAACCAATCAAATGTGGTGTGCTACTCTTGGTATATTAGTGGGGTAAAGTATGAGATGTCCAGGAATAGATTCACTCATGAGCGAGTCTCGGCCCAAGTGTGTGGAGAGCAGCAGTGAGCGTGGTGGTACTTGAGTGCTGGAGGTTTTCGGCTGCTGGGGCTGGGTTCCTTGGGGCAGGGAGGGGCCTCACCCTCCCTCCTCCGGATTGCCCCAAATTAAACAGCCTGGCAAGAGGTCTGGTGGCATGGCAATGGCGTAATCGTTTTGTACTCTCTTCTGAGAGATTTATATTGAGTCTCTGGATCATGGCCATTGATGAGATTATATTGTGCCAGAGGTGGCTTGTGAGGGTTACTGCCAAGCTGTTGGGGAAAAAGGGAGATTGGGGAGGTCACCCATTCCTGGTTCCATTGAGCTTGGAATTTTCAGTCACAAGTCCCGCATACCTGGGTTTTCTGCAGATTCACTCATTGGTGTGGCTCCTCCGAGCATATGGAGAGTGGCTCTGTCTATTACTTCTAATGCAAAAAAAAAAAAAACCTCTATTTTACTATAAGAGAAAATAAAGCAAAACTTTCAAATCACAGCAAGACTTGAACTTATGCTGCAAATCTCAATGAAATGACTGTTGAGAATGCACTCAGAGAAATAGACGAACATTTTAAGTGATTTTATTAGGACAACCTTTGTGTCATGCTTGACAGTTTTGATTTTTGTTTTGATTTTTGTTTCAGTGGAAAATGTGTTGTTAGAAGCTATCTTGTACAGATAATAAGAAGAGGGAGAAAAGCTCTGCGGCAAAGTGCCAAATGTGAGAGGGCTTCAGCTCAAAAATAGTTGAATTCACTCAAATAATTGTCTTTGTCCTACTTCTCTGAGATTATTGACTGGCAAAGTCCAGAATGCATTGATGTCATCCTTATTATAAAAATTTGGATTAAGTACACATGTCAATCTTAAGACACTCTTGATCATAAGTAACTTTTAAGATATTGGTACATGTTTGCTTCTGCCTGCAGAGAAGTTGGAAAAGTTTGATCACCCTAGTTCCAGTATGCAGAAAATCCCAAATCCCCTCATCCCCTGGTGTTAAAGGGCCCTGATCATTTATTAATTAATATCTTATGAAACAGGAGCTCTTTGTTCTTCAGAAATGATTGCAGAATTTTAACCAAAAGGTAGGACCCAAATCATGCATGTCAAGTATTGAGAAAATAGGCTTATCCTTTTGTGTTGGAAAAAAAGGGGGGTAAAATTTCTACCTAATTTACTACCTTAATCAAGCCTTTTAAGACTTCTGGAAACCCAGAAAATTTCTATTTAGTGAGTGAAAAACTACTTTCTTTCATAATTAGTTCTAAGGAAGAAAGAAAGAAAGAAAGAAAGAAAGAAAGAAAGAAAGAAAGAAAGAAAGAAAGAAAGGAAGGAAGAAAGAGAAAGAGAACAAAAGTAAAGGAGAGAAAATAGTGGTAAAGAAAAACAGAAAGACAAAATAAAAGAGAAAAGATAAGATAGGTTCACACCTCCTCCCCCATCCTCCCACCACCACCACACACACATACCCCACACCGCAGATTATGAAGAAGTTGATGTTTCTCATAGGATTTGGCGAGTCTTTATTCCATATCAGTGCCAGAGCCTTTGGCCCCTGAGCCTGCTGATACAGAAATCCACCAGTCACACTGACGTCTGGAGCTTCTTTTTCCAAAGCAGAAAAAACAAATGGCCAGCCAAAGGTCAGAGACACTCAATCTGTGCCCAGAGTTCTGGAACTTTTTTCCAGTTAGATATTTCTTTGAAAAGAGTTTTTAAGATGATGGTAGTTTTTTTTTTTCTCAAAAGGGTCTCATGAACTAGGAATGTGGGTAATGGATGAGAACCAGAGATGGCTGTGCTGAGAGCAGAGGCCTCACTGTTTGCGTCGTAATCAGTTCTCTTAGACCTGCTTCAAAACAGGAAAATTTTAGGAGAAATTATTATGAACATTTCAGGTTTGGGGAACGTTATTTGCAATGGGAGATCCTTCCACTGCTTCATTTTTTCTTTTTTTTCCACACCACAGATCTGGATTGTCATGTCTATGAGTGTGGCTTCTCCAAACTCTTCTGGATTCCGTATAGGGGGTTTTGTTTGTGTTGGTGCCACACTGGGTGGTACTTGGGGGTCACTCCCAGCAGAGCAAGGACAGAACCATGTGATGCTGGGCTTCAAACCCAGGCTGGCCACATACAAAATACATGAGCTTAAGCCTTTTGATCTATCTCTTTTCTGCCTTAATCAAGCCTTTTACCCTTCCCAATTCTGAATGAACACCTGTTTTTCTCCATACATTTCAAAGGATTCATAATTTGTTTCCTTGTTTAACTTATTTATTTTTAATTGAACTTAATATAAACAAAAGTAGACTCCCCGGCCATCATGATAATGTTTTATCTTTCTCATTAATGGAAAATTCTTCTAGATGCTATAGTGTGATAATGGAAAAACAATGAAATATCTAGCGTATAAAGTACCTTTAAAACTAAATATTGGAGGGATGGGTATTTGATCATTGTATAATTGAAACCCAAGCACAAAAATTTGTAAGTCTCCAACTGTACTTCATGGTGTCTCACTAATAAAAATTAAAAAAAAAAAAGACCAAGCAAGAATATAAAAAAAAAGCAACTAAATATTATTAAAATGTCTTTCTTTTGATTCATTTTCGAGAAGAAAATTGTAGGAAACGTAAATCACTGTCATAGATACCAGGAAACTCAATTAAGTATAATGGTCAATGAGCCAGTGGTTAAGAAACTCTGAACAAAGGGCTGGGAATGTGACTCAGTGGGAAAGTCCACACCTTGCATGCATGAAGCCCTGGGTTTAATCTCCAGTAACAATTTAAAATGAAGAGAAAATAGAAACTCTGAACTAAAA